AATCATGTGATTGATGTGCATGGTTTTAGCATTTCTAGCTCAAGTGATGAGTTTTTTCAAAACTTATACAAACTTAAACTAACTCATTCCTTAGCAATGACTTCATATCTCAAATATATATATATATATATATATATATATATATGAAGAAGTTCATAGTCTACTGCTAATGGATATAGGAACATATAAATGATGATATGATATGCATGATCCTATATAGATGAGCTTCAAATGGATTCATAAATACTTTGACATTGAATCCTAAACACTCACCAAGCTATCTACCCTTCTTCGAGCTTTGTCCATGATCATTTAGGCTTTGAGGTATTCTTGCTTTCTTCCTTTCTTTGAGTTGCTTATTTGCTAGTTGTAGTCCAAGCTCTCCTTGGATGGACTTGCATTTGGTTCCTTGCAACTTCATACTTCTTTGTATCCATTCTTTTCCATTGATGTGATCTTTATTACTTCATTGAAGTCATTCTTTGAATATGAATCATCTATAATACTCAATGTAAACTTTAGTCCATAAACACCATTAATGGTTTATAATAGGGGTGCACACGGTTCGGTTCCTTATGGTTCTGGTCGGAACCGGAATCGGAACAGTTCACAATGGCTCCTAAAAAACGGAACCAGAACCGAAACCGTATAGATTAGAACCGAACTGGAACCGAAACATGGAACCGGTTCGATTCCGGTTTGGTTCCATGAGAATCGTTAACCATGAGTTGAGAGAGAGCGACTAAAGCTTGCGAACCCGAACTGGAACAGCGGGCGATGGAAACTGAAAGATATGGGTTTAATTTTTTAAACAATCTGAAATGATATGCCGATATGGGTTTTGAACTTTTGATTCTTACATATAGATCTGAAATATATGGGTTTTGAACTTCTGATTCTTGTAGATTTTGTAGTTTACAGTTGAGAAAATCTGAAGATGGAGGAGGCAAGGCGCTGACTACCGAGGGTGATGAGGATTCGAGGAAGCTTAAGATTCGGCAACTGGAGAGGCGAGGGTTAGCTCCGCACAGGAATCGTCGGAACAGCTCCGTCGCCGAAGCCTAATCTCAACCACTCGGAGAGGTTTTGGAAGGAACCCATGTGGGAATTCCAGAGAATGATAGATTGGTTAGGGATAGATAAGATTCAACTTGTGAATTAAGGATTGGGATTGGGATTAAAGAAGAAAGGGTTAGCTTAAGATGGGGATTGGGTGATGAGGAGGCAGCTTGAGATGCAGAGATCACAGATCAGACTCTAGGTTAGATGGTTAGATGAGTTTTCAAATTTTCCCACGTGAATTGAGGATTAGGATTTGTGTTTTGTTTTGTGGATTAGTCATTACCCACGTGGCTGCTTGTAGGCCTCATAAGGTAACTAATTATATATATATATATATATATATATATATATATATATATATACACACACATATACGGTTCTAGTTCTTATTGGTTCCCACAGGCTAGAACCGGAACCGTATATATATACACATATACGGTTCTAGTTCTTATTGGTTCCCACAGGCTAGAACCGGAACCGTACATCCACGGTTCCGAAATTAAGAACCGGAACCGGAACCGAACTCACGGTTCCGGTTTGGTTTTCACGGTTCCACTGTTCTTTTGTGCACCCCTAGTTTATAATCATCAAAATCACTAGATTATCCTTGGTTAAAGGCTTTGTAAGATAGACGTCAATATGATTATAACGAACCGTAAAGGAATACAATGAATCCTTAACTTACGTTCTAAATAAAAAAGTACACAATGTGGAAGTCTTATAACAAAAGAACCCTAGAGACATTTGAACGTAGAGTGCTCTGATATCAACTGTGATACCCCTCGATTTCGAAACACGGGTTAATCAGGTCCACGCAAGAGACCGAGGGGAATACCAAACAATTAATATTTAAATTGAACACAAAATACAAAATGAATAAATAACAAAGAAACGATATTGCTGAATGGAAAACTAATAAATAAATCATCTCCATTAAATAAAATATATTAATTCTTAAAGATAGATAAAAAAATCTCTATAGAATAAATCTCCATAAGAAATACAACTCAGGAATCCTCAGACATAGACCCCTAATCAAATCCCGTAACTGAAAATAATAAATGTCTAAAAATTGAAATAACTAATAAGAAGATAGAATCCTACGTCGATGACACCAGAAGAGTGATGATGCCAAGTCTTTGATCTGTACAAACAACTTCTAATCCTACTACTAACGAGGACCTGAAAAATATAACAATGGTGGGTCAAAACCCACAACAAGTCTTTTCTACGACAGCCCAAACAGAGACCGGAGAAAACTACACATTAATAGTTAACTCATGTAATAGCTAAATAGTCGATAAGTATATAAATATACACACTAAAGACTCTCACTGTATTAAGGCAATCTCAACTATGTAGTGGGAATCTCATGCAAATCGCACACAAAGGTGATTACGAGTCGTCCTTCTACCAGGGCACACACATCCCTAATTCAGCTACCCATCTTATTTGGCAATATACGCCTACATCCTAACCACTAATCCTAATCCTAGTAGACACAATATTATTATAGATATAATAAACCATATCCTGACAATGGTTAACAGATAACAACCACGCCCATATCCTGACAACGGACTGGAAGTGATAAAAATAAATAATAGCCATGTCCCAACAATGGCATGTCATCCATATCCTGACAATGGTCTGACATAGAATGAGTCTAAACTTATTAGTCATCTCATCCACAGAATGCCCCCATATCCTGATAATGGTGCATATATAGAACCAAATCCCGACATTGGTCCTCAAACAAATCCAAACATATATATATCATACTTCAATATTATAAAATACAGATATACAAGTGATTATAATCATATCATATCATAACAGCACATATCATAATATCACATTATCAAATCATAAGAATGACTTATAATTTTTTTAAGCTTCCTACATCATGTATCTCACATAAACTGAATCTTAAGTAAGCTGGTATTTTATTTTACAGCCAAGTAACCATTTTCCAAATACATTTCATGTTAAACATTTAATCTTAATGGTTAAAAAATAATTAAAAGATTAAAATCTTAAATTCTTTATTAATAAATTTAAATCACATGCATCATTGTGTTCATGCCTATTTGAATTTACAAATCCTCATATCTAAGTCCCTATTTAGTGTTCGAGACCTTACATGATCAATTTGGGGTCAATTTAAACACTTTAATAAAAATTCTCCAGAGGGTGCTCGGACACTGTTTCCCAGAAAGGGGTGCTCGAGCACCTTTCAAGGGTGCTTGAGCATTGTTTCGTGAAATAGCTCGAGAAACTCCTCTTTAAGCCCTATTCTCTATTGTTAAGGGTCCTAAAGTATGTTACTAAGGCCCATCAATACACAAGCACGAAAATTCATCATTATAACATGTAGAAATCCATTAAAAGTTAGATCTAAACTATGAATTTATCAATTCATACAACAAGAACAATAATGAACATAAAGAACAATAATGAACATAAACTCATAAAAACCTATGTTCTAGATCAATTTAAATATGGATTCCAATTTTAATAATTTTTAAACATACCTAAAGTTATACTAGAGACATATAGATCACAGATCTAAGGTAAAAGTGTAGAATAGAGAACTTGCCTTAAACTTTCGGATCGAAAGCTAAAATCCTACTTCCTTGTTCTTCTTCTCTAATGATCCTTCTTCTTCTTCTTCCCTCTATCTCTTTCTCTTTCTAGTTTTCTCTTTTTCTCTTTCTAAATCTACTCTCTATGTATATAGATAGGTAAAATACATTACCTACGCTTGACAATTCACAAACTAGGTAACTAATTTAATAAAATGTTATTTTTAATGAAAATAATATAAATATATATACACCTCATTATATATATATATATCCAACCCATTTAAGATCACACTCAAATAGTCCAAGACCCATCTAGATGGTCTATGGGTTATGACGCAAATCCTTAAAATAAAAACAAAATAAAATAAAGACCATTTAACTAACATAATTAAACATTTAAAATAATTCAATTACACAAACACGTCACATGGAAGCAAATAAAAATACACATACAATTAGCCAACATAAATTAATTTAATTAATTCAAATAAAATAATTTAATAAAACAATTAATCAATTAAACATCCAATTAAATATAAAAGCATTTAATCAAATAGTCACATAATTAAATAAAAATATAATTAAAATAATTAAATAAATTTCAAAAAATCAGGGGTATACACATCTTTTAACTTCACGATCAACCCGACCAAAACAAAAACACAGATGGTAAACGTTCATGATGAAAAGAGACCCACTTTCTCTGACCTTCATGCACAATATGAACCAAGGTTGTTAAATTCGGGATTCTACCTTGAATCGTTTTGGGTTCCGTAGAATCAGAATCGTAAAATCAGATCAAGAATCATAAGATTCTATCAACTAGTAAAATAAGAGTTCAAACTAACTTCTTAAGCAATTAATATCTTTAAAATATAGTAAGAATAAGGCCAAAACACAAAAAAGAACAGATTAACAGAACACATGTCTGGAAAATTAGAATGTAAAAAGAACAGAAGTAGAGCAAAAAAACCTAGTGACAGGGTACCAATGGATGGCTTGTTTAATACTTTAATCTTCTTCTTTCTATTTTATTTTCTTCCTTGGTTAGGAAAGCCAGAAATTATTCAAAATATTTAACCAACCAACAGAAAATATTACAACCAACCAACCAACAGAAAATATCAAAAAGATTGCTTTGTTTCGTTACAGAAGTAGAAGTAAGGATGAACTAACGAGGCAGAAGCAGAAGAAGAACACAAAAAAAATTGCTCTGTTTCGTTACAGAGCAATTTTTGCATAATAAAACTATAGAAGAAGGACAAAAAAAAAAAAAAAATACTACAGAAGCAGAACAGATTCAACAGAAGAGAAGCAGGAAAAAAAAAAAAAAAAAAAAAAAAACCACACCTTTGCGATCTGAGTCTGAGAACTGAGGAGTGAGGACTTCGAATTTGTTGAAGACTTGAAATGTCAGACCGCGAACGAAGTCCAGAAGTTGTTGAAATGTCAACTGTCGAACGAAGTCTAAAATATCTTTGCCAAAGTGAAGTGAGATCGCGGTAAAGCAAAGTGAGATCGCGGAAGAGCGAAGTGGGATTTGGTTTTATCGACTAAATTGGGGCTGGCAGAGGAAAAAAACAAGAGATTTTGCCCTAAATTGGGCCTTCTCTCTATTTTATCGAATATTTAATGGTTTTTTGGGCTGGGCCTTTCTTATTTCAAAAGCCCAATTGTAAATAAAGTAAACTCAAACCTAAAAACAAGCCCAGCAAAGCCAAATTGCAGAATTGTATCAGAGTCATAGAATAGTACGATTTCACGATTCTGCTACGATTTTGATCGATTCTGCTGCTATTCTGTACTATATGATGATTTATTTGCAAGTTAACTCGTTTTGGGTGACCAAAATCCTAGAATCGTACGATTCTACGATTCTGGATCGCGATTTTGATAACCTTGATATGAACTCCTCTCCGCAAAGGCATTGTCACACCCACCACAGCTCGAATACGTAAATACCATTATCCTAAATTATCCACCTCATGAACCTCCACCTTCTCCATTGACACAAACTTCTCAGCAAATTTAATCACAGTCACCTTCGTTACTAGTTTTAGAGGAACATTAAGAATTTTATTTAAGAAATTAACTTATATTCTATCATAATATTGTCATCCATCATAAATGAAAAGCTCAAACTTAGAATTGAAAGCTATGAAGCACCGACACGTGGGATTGGGTCATCATACCGGTGTCGAACACGTGTCCGACACGAACACGCGTGTCGGAGGCTCCGACACGTGTCCGACGCCTCTGTAAAGGTGTCCTATTTTTTTATCATATTTTTCATGCTAGACACGGCGAAGGACACGCCGGCGACACGCATAGGACGCCGGATTCAGTTTTTTGTCAAAAAAAATAAAAAGATATATACACAAGCTAGAAGAGTGCAGCTCGATTGGGATCTTCCTGAATTTATCCTGCCTTAGCCACAGCCACCGGACTGATTGATCGGTGAGATGGCTTCGGATCAGATCTTGTAATGACCCGGTCATTTTCCTCCCTTTCCTTTTCCTGAAATTTTACGGTTAAATTTTTTTTTCGTTTAATTTTCTTTTCTGAGTTTTGTTTCTTGTCATATAGTGTTGTCTTGAGTGCTTGGAATTGGTTTCTGAGACTCTTTCGTGCGGATTGACAACTTCCTTTGAGGACTGAGTCATTTCTACATTTTCACTTTTCGGACACTATTAACTTTTTCTCCTTTTCCCTATTTCATCTTTTTCCCTATTCTGTCTTTTCCCCGTTTGTCAGTTTTTGGCACAACCTCACTTTTCATGCTCGGAGTTGGTTTTTGACTTCACGTGTCTTCATTTTTAGTGGTTTCCTCGAAATACGTATCTTTACTTTTGCAAGAAAGTACTCTGGTTGCTCCCGGTGTCCAAAGGGGTATGGATGCACAGTTCTTTGGAATCTTTTTCTTTTCTTGGGGTGTTTGTCGTAAATATCTTTTGAAGATATTTTATTTTAGGGGTTTTTAAGAAAATATTTTAGGAAGATATTTTTAGTTTGGGGCATTAGTGCAGTTAACCCTTTTTGGAGGGGTCATTATGCAATTAACGAAAGTTATTACAAAAATACCTCGTCTCGAGCCTGGATCCTCGTACGGGATTCATTTTCACATTTCGTCAAGCTGTGTACTCTTAGAATTCCGTTCTGGTTGTTTTTCTCCAGTTTCAGAGTTTCTAGCCACGGTTGTCAACAAACTTGTTTGGAGCATATCTCTCTGCTCAGGACTCAGTTTTTTACGCCGTTTCTTCCGTTATTCATATTTTCTTATTTGAGTCTTTTTTGTTCACGGAATTTTTCCATTTGAGCACGTTTGCTCAAAATCCACTTTTTCAGACCCCGCGGGGCCCTTTCGGGGCACTTTTTGAGATTTTCTATAAATAAGGGACTTAAAGAAGAAAAGTTAGATTTTGATCATCTTCCTCCCCCTCTTGGCTGGCAGCCATGGGAGCTCCTTGGGCTGCTACCTTTTCTTCTTCTCCTCCACTTGATTTCCTAAGTGAAAAGTCTTCGGCCTTCACATTTATTGTTCCCCTCGACGAACTCTACCTTTCCCCCTTATTAGAATCCATTTCTGACCATTTCTTGAATTTGGGTTTGAAGTCAAGTTATGATTTTCATGGGGCTTCCTTCGGATTCTTGTTCATCGTGTTGTCCCCGACAAAACCCTTCGGTATCGTCGGATTCGGAGCACTTTTATTTCGGTGGGCTTTTGAGATTTTCATCTCAAATTGAGATAGGAGGTTTTATAATTTATATTCTTGTTATATAGTATGATATTGATGCTTATACTACTTGTTTACATGCTTAAATATAAAATTTAGAGATTTTATTATTTAATTTTCTTGAATGAGATTTGATTTTCCCGGTTGTCCATAGTTTGTTTTAAACATGTGGCATGATAGGATCTTACCCCTTGACATGATCATTGACATATATTAAGTTGAGAGCTTTTGAATAAGTAATGAAATTTTTATTTAATATTTATCTTAAGTGAAAGATTAATTCATGTAGCATTAACTAGCTTGAAATCAATGTGTGTTAGCATATTATATTAGGCCCTAACATGCTCTTTAACATAGGTGAATTTAAGACTAATCGGAGGTGTTTTAAAATTTAGAGAATATTTGATTAATTAATTTATTCCGAGTGTAATATTCACTCCATTGGAATTCCGACTTGATATTCTTCATATGCATGTCATATAGTTTCATATATATTAAATCTAGAATATTTGATTAAGTTTTGAAACTTCTCATTTATTATTTTTCTAGTATTAAAGTTTAATACTCATAGGCGTGTCTTGCTTAGAATTCACTTGTATCATGTTTTTGAATCAAGTCTTGACATGTTGTATATCATATATTAAATTGAGATCATTTAGATAAATTTCAAAACCTAGAGATTTTAATTAAAAGGATTAATTAAAATCCATTCATTAGCTCATTGGTCTTGATTAAGTTTCTAACTTAGTATTCATGCTTACCATGACAAGTTCCTTCACGTGTATCAATTTGAGAATAACCGGATAGGTTTTGAAACTTATATTCTATTATTTCCTTTATATGGGACTTAATTCACAAGGCTGTATATTTGTATGTAATGAACTTGTAACTTGACATTAGACTTGTCCTTGACATAATCCTTGACTTGTCTTGTAATCTTCACAATTTAATCCCTTAAGTAGATTAAATTTCCTTATATGCTTCCATCGCGTTAATCATGCTTTGATATTGAACTCGTGTTAACTTATGAATCGAACTTGTATTTCATGTACCTTCTTCTTTTTATCAAGCATCGTGACTCCTTGTATCTAGGTTTCATTAATATACTTAATGAACATGCATATTTGTCTTGGCATGATTTAATTACACATGTGTTGTTTAGTATTTAATTAAATCATTAATCTTATACTTGTGATATATTTACATCAATGGATTCCATGTGCTATATATATCTTGGTTGTAATCTATATAGATGCACACTATGATTTCTTGACATTTCACATGCCATGATAGTTGATGAACTTAGGGCATGACTTGTGTGTTCCAAAATCTTGGTTGTGCATGAGACGTGGTTAATGCATTTCTAGTATTTTGATACTATCTTGGTTTGCACAACTTGTTGATTTTGGGACTTGGGATATCAATCAAAAATTGACATGGCTAGGACTTGGTTCTAGTACGGGGGAATGTCCTCTTACACTATAGTGTGCACTAGGGGAAAGGTACCCATGGGTTAGTAGCCCTAAAGTGATCTCAAGAGTACGGTTTTAATTCGGGCGATATCCGAGTTTTCCACATTGGTTGATTTCACTCTTTAAATTTCAAGTTGCTATTCCTTGAAGATTTAAACTTGTCGTGTATGTGAAATTCTCCAATCTTGTTTACTTGCATAGATATTATGCCTTGTTCTTGATTTCATGTATAACTCTTTTCGCGTTTCATGGAATGTTCCATCCTTGTTTAATTGCATAGATATTATGCCTTGTTCTTGATTTCGTGTGTTACTCCTATCGTGTTAATTGGAATGCTCCAATCATGTTAATTACATTGATAATGTAATTCTTATTAACTTATATCCATGTATACTTCTTGTCTTGTTAAATTGGAATGTTCCAATCATGTAAATTGCCTTGACAATTTGATCTTTGTTTTCTAGTACCTTCTTGTCGTGTTGTGTAGATTATTCCAACCCTTGCTTAACTGTATTGATAATTCAATTCATGTAAATCTATGTTCAAGCATCCTTCTTATTGTGTTCTTTGGATTATCCCAATCTTGACTTGTTTCATATATGTAGATATATCATGATTCTTGTTGCTTTTATTCTATGGTAGCTTAGGATGCTCCCTGAGTCTCATCTTGACGTAGACGTTAGGTGGCATGACCCTTTTGAATTGTATCATGTAAGTCTAAAAATCTGAAAGAAATCGAGTCGATGCATGCTCATTCTCTACGAGTAAACTTGTTTACTCACCCCAAAGTTACTGGAGGGCTGTTTCAGGTACGAAGACTTGGTTCATGATACTAGTCGTTCATTGGGATGGCTTGTAGCTTCAAGTTTCCATTTCATGTAAGTGTTAGCATGAAGTGCCATTATTGTAGCCTTATGTATTAAACTTGTATTCTTTGATTCCATTTATCTAATATGTACATAAGTACACTATTTTCATTGTATTCAACACGTATAACATGAGGCCAAGGGCCAAGCATGTTTATATTTGCAATTGTACTCATTTGGTACCACATTTTGTTTTAAAATGTAGTTTTTATCAACTTTTGAGGTTTGACATGTCAAATCTTGTAAATGTGATATAATAAGGCCATAGGCCATTGTAGCATGTTTAAAATGCAATATTACACTTGCGTATATGTTCACATCGTCACACATTAGCTTATAATGCAAATTGAACATGCCATGGGGATTCTAATAAGACTTAGAGTCTTTTCTTCCATTTAGGTGCATAACAGGTTCATATGCACATTCTCGAGCCATTTTAGTCGACCGAAATGCCAGTTCGGTCGACCGATTCTCTTTTGATTTCAATTGT